AATGCAATGTTGTTTCTCATTTCCTTAACAACCATCAGAATTAGATATATTCTATTCAATCATACTTTAATTACGTTCTGGTGTGGAATATGAAGGTCAGTCTGACCTGAACTAGTTTTGGGTGCATTCGCAATAAGGCAAACTCTGTCCTTAAAGTGAATTTTTAGGAAGAATCCCATATTTGCCACCTGATGACTGTACATAATTGGGCATTCATATAATTAAAATCAGACAATCTATGGGAAAGGACATATGTAGTAGAAAAGATGTTCTATAATTTAATATATCAATCAAGATAAAAAAAAAACCCACCTACACCCTTAAGCAACAAACATTCACCCTTTATTTGAACCTCATAAAAGGAAGCTCTAAACAGTAATTGGGCCGTGAATCTTTTTACTTTTGAGGCCTATTGTCACTCTTGACAGATTATCTGATCTATTCTATTGCTTTGATACATTGACAACTTTGTGTGAGCCTTTATTTTAGTTCTTTGAATAAGAAACCAAGAATGCGGGCATACCCAGCCTGTGTCCCATACATAGTCACAGCTTGAGCAATTATGATAAAAAAAATAAACCTTTAATCAAGGCAAAGATAATTTCTGACACCCAGGAAGCTCTTTCTGCTTTATTCCCACCCCAGAAGTGATTGCTGTTCTGGGTTCCATCACCCTAGTTAGTTTTGTCTGATCTAGAATTTCATATAACTGGAATCATATAGCACAGGTTTTTTTTTTTTATTTTTTGCTATGTCTGTCTACTCAGCAAATTGATTTTGAAATTCAACCATTTTGTTGTGCATAACTGTAGTTGATTCATGTTTTTTTCCCAGCGATATTCCATTTTGTGGATGCACCAGAGGTTTGTTTATGTATTAGCTTGGTTATAGACAACATGGCTGATGATTGCATATAAAGCTGTTAAGAACACTTACACTGGAGAATTTCTGTGGTCATTTCTCATTCCTCTTGGATACGTGCCAAGGAATGGAGCTAGTGGATAATAGAGCATATGGTAAGCAGCTGACTAGTCATGACCCAGTTTGGTTGGAACAGAGTGCAAGTCCTCAGTGCTCCCATTCTGTGGCACAGCCAAGACTGGATCCTACCAAGAGATGCTTTCATAGCATCTACACTCCCCTCTACTCTTCTTCCACCTCCTTGCCCTGAGACCTGGACTGATAGAAGTTTGCTTGGTTTGGTCTTGTCTCCCTAGACAGGTTGGCAGGGTGAGACATACCTGGCATGAGCGATCGCTGCCACCCACTCGTCACAGTCCTTTGCATCCTCTGTCCTCAGCTCCAAGGCCTTCTGGTTCTCATGGGTGAAGTTCACCGTGAAGTAATGCTGCACCAAGAAGAAGACACAGACACCTCAGGCTACCAGGATGCCCACAAACCCCATAGCATTCCCAGATGCCATGCTGAGTGCCTGCTGCTGCTGCAGCCCAGCACAGATGCATTCTTTGTGATCGATGGAATGCCATTCTATTTAGTGGTTTCAAGTGCTCAATCAAAAAGACTTTTGTGTGGTGTAACAAAACCTATGCTACGATAAAGAGGCAAACCCCAATTACAAAAAAAAAAAAAAAAAAAAAAAAGCTAGTTTGAAACCATCAGTCACTCTGGAAGGACAGCAGGGGAAACACACCAAGAGAACATCTCCGTGGGGCACTGGATACCAATTCAATGCAGCATGCCTTTAATTACTCCATGGAAACTGACTAAGCGCTCGTCTGGCTGCTGGGGTGACAGAAGCGAGTCAATGGCACAGTCCCTGGGAAATCTCACTGTAAGCCACTTCCACGCTGGGCGCAGGTGTCTCACTGAAAGCTGAGTCAACTGTGGGGCCGGCCTCCCTGAGGTCTCCAGGAAGCTCAGAAGCCAGATGAGAGACACACACCTATAGGGTTGCCATGGGGGTCAAATACCTGTAAAGCTCTCTGAACAACACCTGGAACTAAGTAAAGACGACGTGAGTGTGTGCAGTAATTAATGCCACGTGATTGATGTGATGCCGGGGATGAAAGGGACTGTGGAGCACGGACGAAGCCTGCCACTGATCCTGCCCAGGGAGACAAAGAGGAGCTGCTCAGAGGATGTGTCCTGGGTCCTGGTTCCTTTTCAAGTTGGCTGGAAGGATGTGGGTGAGAACATGAGTTACCTGGAGCCCTTGGCCTGCTGGGAGTAGAGGGGATACACACTGCAGGTGGACAGAGGTCAGAGGGGCCGCTCATAGGCAGGAACTCAGGGGTGCGAAACACAAGGTGAGAGGAACCAGAGTGGTGTCCTAGTTTATGGTTTGAGTAACTGAAGTGCCACGGACAGTGCTCAATGGGGGGTGGGGGGGGGGGGGGGGGGGAGGGCAGGATGAGTGGGAGATGAACATGCAGAATGTGGGCTCAGGGGAGAAGCTGGAGAGAAGTCATTCAGGAGGAGGGCGAAAAGCAAGTTGGGGCCACTCTGTTCTGTCTCTTGAAAAGGAGCAGGGTACGATACAAGGAGGGTGCCTTGGGCCAGACCCCTGGAGATGTACCATGCGGGGAGCCTGGGCTTCCATCCCTTGGTGTCCAAGTGGCAGGAGGCAGCAGCATAAGGTGAGATGTATAAACTAACTTGTACCGTATTTTTAAATGCCATTCTATCAGTCAGGCTCGTGTGTGTGTGTGTGTGTGTGTGTGTGTGTGTGTTTGTGTGTGTGTCTGTTACCGGGTAGGGGGAAGACTTGTTTCAGAGTTAGTGCTATCCCTTGTTTCCTAGGAAACAGATTACTGGGCCTGTAACATGAAATGTCAGCTTTAGCCTCGAACAGCTGAAGGAGAGCTCCAGTGGGCACTGGCCCTGTGGGAAGGAGGCAGGTTGAGAGAGGAGCTGCAGGTGGCCACTTAGCTCCTTCCTCATCTAAGGAAAGGAAAAGGGCCTATAAACGTTCACCTTGCGTGATCTTATTTTGTCCCACATCCCACATCGTGCTGGAGGCACGATCTGTTTTGCAGCTGACAGCCCAGATACTTAGAGAAGCCGAGTAAGCGGAGAGCGAAGGAGCCACACGCAACCTCCTACTTCCTACTTGGGGCCTGGCCTTTGCCACTGGGATACAGATTTCCTTTCCCTTGCTTTTCCTCTCCAATACTGGAGCCTCAGAGATGCACTGACACATGCATGGGCCTTAGATAGCTCAAGGCCAGGGCCTGGGCCTCAGTGTTCTGGAGAGTTCCCAGCCCTACCTTGCGCTGGTTCTGAGTGAACAATAAACGGCTGGAGGAGAGGATGAGTGAGATGGTGAGGGCTCTGTAAGGTACCAGGGATGCTGCAGCTCTTTCTTGGCTCACATTAGTAAAGACCCAACATGGTTCTCCTGAGCACATGCCCCATGCCTGCCATAATGCTGAATCTAGCAAAGGCCCCATGGAGAAGGCAAGACCATAAGTTTGCTGCTGTTGGTTAGCTGGAATATAGATCTGATGCTTTATTTTTATTATCACCAAGCCAGGCTCCCCCAGGTATGCACAGTTCAGGAATGGACACTGAGGATGATAGGATTTTTCTCTGTGCCAGCCTGTTTTCCACCTAGTCTCCATCTACGATGACAATTAGGGAAACTTCTGGGAAACTTTTGTGAAAGAGGAAGGGAGGTTGTATGTGTGTGTGTGTGTGTGTGTGTGTGTGTGTGTGTGTGTGTGTGTGTGTGTGTAGGTGTGAGAACAGCTAATATTATGGATGTCCCTGGGTATGAAGATGAGGGAAGGCAAGGACTTAGATTGGGACCTTGAGGTTTGTGAGCTAAGAAAGCCTTGGCTCTGGCTGCCCCCTTCCCTCTGCCAGTGTCTTGATGTGAGGTTCAGACACCTGCAAGCATTGGCAGAGTTTTACAGTAAAGCCGACATAAGCTACCATCTGGGATCCTGTTGTACTCTGCAGCCCTGGAGGACAACCTTGGCCTTCGAAAGTGGCTCCTGGTGAGTATTTACTCCAGATGGAAGATTCCTCTCTACAATTTGGCACGGGCACCCAAGGACAGTGGAAACACCTTCCCACAGCACAGAATGGCTCCTCAAAGTCCTTGGCTGGTATCAGCGATATGGGCATGTTGCTTGAGCTTAGGAAACACCTGTGCTAACGGCAGAGGGCACATGTGGCTCTGGCTTACCTGTTTCCTACCTCCTACAGGTGTGAAGCCTTAGTCTGTGAGAGGTTCAGGTGTTCCCTTGATCTGAGACTTCTGAGAGTGAGAACACATAAGAGTCAGGTTTGCAATAATGTGGCTTTACAGTCCAGTTTGGGTCAAAGAGTGAATCTCTCATCTGCCCCTGCACAAGGAGCAACCCTAGCTGGGCCAAAGCAAGACAAAAGAAAGCTGGTGGGCAAATTTACTCCAGCCTCCATTACTGAGTGAGGTTAAAAGGAAAGTGGAGGCTACATTTGGAAGAACTTTCCCCCTTTTTTGGGTGTGTGTGTTCGTCTGTGTGTGAGCATGAATGTATGTAATTTTGTGTGTGCAGTTTGTGTGGAGGCTTGGAGGTTGTCTGTCTTCCTCAATAGCTTTTCACATTAAGTTTTGAGACCATGTCTCTTACTGAACCTTCTTCTCAACTTCTACCTCCCCAGTGCTGGGATTCCTTCCCAGCCACCAAGCCTGGCTTTTTTCATGGGCCCTGAGGATCCAAATTCACGTTCTCATGCTCCCACGGCAAGCACTTGACTCACTGACCCATCTCTCAGCCTCTTTATTTTCTTTTGAGATGAAGAAATGGCTGTCCTCACTAGGGGAGGAGAGATGAAAGGGCACTTCATATTCTTGTGCATTTGGAGGACAGCAATGAAAAGCCCAGGGGCTTTGTGTTTTTTGATAAATGCTATGGCAGCATGTTCTGCTAGATACATAATCTTGAGTGCTGTTCAGAGGATTCTATCCCTCTTCCTTTATCTATACAGCGAGCATAAAGAGGCTCCCTTCTTCTTCTTCTTCTTCTTCTTCTTCTTCTTCTTCTTCTTCTTCT